CTGGCACGTCCTATCCTCCCTGTCTCTATATGGTGTCTCCTCCCTCTTTCTCTCTGCCTCATTACCCAGAATTCTCCACACCTCCTAGACCTGCCTATCTTCTTGCCTCTTTTGGCCAAATAATGTTTTATTCATCAACCAATAAGAGAAACATATGTAGAGAAGGACATCCCCATCAGGGTGTTGCTGAGTTAACATTGAGGACAAAAATCTTAGGGGTGAGGATGCCAAGGATTTGAGTCATGATGGGTCTAGAACAGCAGTTCTCAATCTTTGGATTGAAACCCCTTGGGGGGGGTCCAAAAACCCTTTCACAGGGGTCCCATATCAAATATCCTGCATATCAGATATTTACATTGCAATTTATTACAGTAGCAAAATTACAGTTATGAAGTAGCAGCAAAAATGACTGTATGGTTGGGGGTCAGCACAACATGAAGAACTGTATTAAAGACCCGCAGCATTAGGAAGGTTGAGGACCACTGCTCTAGAAGCATCACCTAGAGAATAATGAATCCTTGCAGAGCTGCCCCCATGAGCAGGACTGGAGTGTGACAACAGCCATACAAGCGCAATCAGGGTAAGAAGCCTGGTTAACATCAGATTCAAAGGCAGGCATCTTTAGAATGGGCGAGTCAGAATGGTCTGGAGGCAGCCATGAGGAAGGAGCAAAGGGACAATTGTTCCACCGTGGGGTTGGGAGAGACACAGCTGACACTTAAGAGGACACAGAAGCAGTGTCCTTAGGTAAGACCCGGCTTCATTTATAGCAGGACTGTGAAGGATGAGGTGTGCTGTTCTCAGAAGTGAGTTCCTGGAGGTCTCAAGGGATGGAGATAGAGAAGGAAAATCACACACACAGAGCCATTTAAGATGGCATGCAAGGGACAGAGAACAATCCACATGAGGACTCAGTCTTCTTGTATGACATGGGTAAGCCAGGAAATTCTGGTCTTGGGGCAGACACAGGTGGCCAAACAATGAGTGTCTAGGGAAAGAGGCCTGCCAGGAGGATTCCCTGTCCTCTGTCTTCATTCTTGACAATATCAGTTTGGAAGCCAGGGAGTCGTATTGTTGAAACACTAGAAACTGGGATTCCACATTCCAGACAGGGTCACCATTTCTCCAGATGATGAAAAGCATGTGGAGACAATCTGACTGAGGGGATAGGAGTTGTCATGTAGGGAGGGACGGGAGATGATAAGAGAGAACACTGAAGGGCAGGGTGATTCTCTCGAGACTTCGTGAGAGTTCCTGACTACTGACTCATATGGCACAGTCATGAATTTAAGGTGATGCAGTGTTTTGAGGCTGGCATTTGGTGCTATCTTCTCAAAGCCCTTCAATCATGCTTATTGTAGTTTTATGGTTGTAAGAGAGTTGCTTCATGTTGCAATCAGTAGGCTGTGCCCAGGCTCATATAAGCCCTGATTAAAATCACAAGAAGGGCACACAAATAGGAAAGGAGTCTATTGGGAAGAAGGGTGGGGCAGGGGTAGAGGGTGATGGGAGTGAGTGTTATAAAAATACGTTATACACATGGATGAAGTTATCAGAAAAAAAGAGGATCACTTGTGCAGCAACTGGGTATAATGACACTATGATACTAACATTTGGTAGGCAGTCAGGAGGATCACTGCAGAGTTTGAAGCCAGCCTGGGCTACAGAGTGAGAGCCTGCCTCAAACAAAACAAAGCAAAGTACTTGTGCAGTCAGGCATGCTTTGCCCTTGTGTCTAGCTGCTTCCACGAGAACCTACCTGCTAGAATAAGAGTCATGAAAGGCAGGTTGTCCTGTCTGAGGCCATTCTAGATGAGCCAACAGCAGTCAACCTCTTGACACTTCAAGAAGCCCACCCCAACTCAGCAGAACAATAACCACCCCAGATGCATGGAACATTGCCAGTTATTATACAGCATGGAAACCATTGGTGGATTGTTACCCAGCATGTGGTAGCATCAGATAACAGACACAGTCTCCCAGGCGGAGCTCTGACACAGCCTTACCTCTGTGTGCCCAGTTCATCTGGAGAGAGGACCTCTTCTGGTCTACACCCACTCAGCACTCAGTACAGGGCCTGCCCTATGGACGTTGTTCAGCAAAAGCCTGTGAAAAGGATGAATGAGTGAACCTTTGTTCAACCTGAAGAAAAGAACTCACCATTTCATGTGCAACAGGTGCAATTTCCAAAACCAAACATTGTAATCAAATGAATGTACCCAAAGAAAATCCAGTTCAACAAGATACGTGAAGCAACCATCATAGATAAAGCACCTTTTGCCTCGAGCACAGTGGTTATGCTTCAAACACTGGGCACCTCACTTTACGTTTTGTTACATAGTGTGGGTCAATTTAAAGATAACCTAAGTCCTATAACATCCTTTAAAGGACAGAGTGTAAATAAGTGGATATGACTCAGTCTAAATATCCTTCCCATTATCTTTAGCACACACTATCAAACCATTGAGACGACTGACATTTCCTAAATAATATCAAGAGGCTTGCCCTTCTGAAAAGGGAGATATTATTTGCATTGATATAGAAAAAAGAGAAAGATAAAAATATTATTTAGTAGAGGGGGTGGGGATGGATTGTGGATGCTTTCCAGTGTATCCTCAGGGGTTTCTAAGGCTGTCCTGTGCTCACTTTTAAATAAGAGTAATGAATGAGCCACTGGGTCAGCTTAGAGGCCAGATTCAAGGTATGTACTATATGAAGGATTTTGTCAAACATGTTTAATAATTCTAGCAGACAATCGAATTTTAAATACTACTGTATAAATGCTATGTTCGCTTACTTTAAGAATCCTTAGGGAAGATGCTGGTGAGCAAGGCATTATCCTAATATTACAGTGCCGGATGCTATCTTCTCTAGAGTCAGTAGTCTTCAACCTGTAGGGCATCCATGGATGGTTTTTTTTTCTGGATATTTGATCTTATTTTCTTTGTTTTCCCTTCAAAACTTCCTGGTCAGTTGTGTCAAAAAGAGCAAGCTAGGAGGACGAATGTGACATAAGAATGGATGAGACTCATGTAGCCAGAATCGAAATTAACAACTGGGGATAAACCGTTCTAAGCTCCTTTTCCAAGAACATAGCTCACCTAGGTTGTGATAACATTTATCTTCTGGGCGTGACAGTATCATTTTACATAATCTAGCTGGGTACCAAATACCATGTTGGTGTCCTGTTTCTTTTATTTACAAATAGCTTGGAGTCAAGAAAGGTAACTAAGTTCTTGCAAATATATTTATTTATATGTATTGGTGTTTTGCTTGCATGCATATTTGTATGTGGGTGTCAGGTACCCTGGAACTGGAGTTACAGACAGTTGTCAGCTACAATATGGATACTGGGAATTGAACCTGAGTCCTCTGGAAGAACAGCCAGTACTTAACCGATGAGGCATTTCTCCAGTCCCAGCTACTGAGTTCTTATGCCATCTTAATAACAAGCATATCTTAATTATTCGTTTATTTCTTTTAAAACTAATTTTATTGTTATGTGTATGAGTGAGACATGTATGCTTGTGTATTATGTGTGTTCCTGGTAACCAGAGAAGTCAGGCTTTGGGTTCCCTGGATCTGGAGTTATGAACAGTTGTGAGCTACCATGTGGGTGCTGGGAACCAAACCTGGGTCCTCTGCAAAAACAACAATTAACCAATTAACCATAGGTTAATTGCTTTTAACCAATTAACCATCGGTTCAGCCCCAAGCATTTTTTTTACACAAAGTACCTCTATACTTGCTGTTTCCTCTAGAATCTTCTCCCTCTAGAATCTGACCCTACTCCATTTGATAACTCTGACATCTAAGCCCCATTTAAACACACCTTTTCTATGAATCCCTTATCCATATACTTTGTCTCCTTCCCGTCTGCATTGGGTTGCTCTATGTCAGCCTGACACAAGATAGTCTCCTGAAAGGAGAGAACTCAGTTGAACAATTGCTTCCAAAAGATCAGGCTGTAGGCAAAGTCTTTAAGGCATTTTCTTAATGGATCAGGATTTGGTTCTCAGCACCCACACAGTAACTCACAGTCATCCATAACCCCAGTTCCAGGAGATCCAATACCCTCTTCTGAACTCCTCAGGCAACCAGGCATACATGTGATGCATAGACACACATGCAGACATAACACTCATACACATAAAATAAGTAATTAATATATTTTTTAAAAAGGTAAAGAGCAAAAGAGCAAAAGCTAATATGCAAAACTTGTATTGCACTGGGTTCCATAGGCCATTATCCTGAATGTACAGAATTCATTTTGAGTTTGTTTTCACCCACTTCTACTGTCCCTGCTTCTGTTAGTTGTCACTGTCCCCCTAGAAAGTATCGCTTCTACTTTTATGTTATCTGCACATACATGATTTTATGTATTTGTATAAAATCTAGGACCTATACACATGTGCAGGGTCCTTCCTGCAGGTAGAGCGGGGGAAGGGCCGGTCCAGCAGGTCTCTTCCTGGGGGCTGAGCAGGACGGTGAGTGTCAACCACTCAGACCCTCCCCCATTAGTTACCAGGGAGAAAAAATACACACTGAGTCAGGAGTCTGTCGAAGCAGGATCTCTATTTATCCCACCAGGCAGGAACTTATGTAGGGCTGAGGTAGGGGATGGGAAACATAGGGTAGGGAGTAAGGGCCGATAGTATTCCACCAAGCTGGCAGGTAGCTAGGCAGGGGGCAATCTTACATCAGGTCTGGCTGAGTCACCCCCACGAGAAGGTTACAGGTTAGAAACAGGTCACCAAACTCTAACCAGGCTCAGGAGCCTACACTGGACCTCGCATCCGAGCCTTTCTTAGGCCCAACAAACATGTGAGATAAAATGAGGCATTTTTCTTTCCAACTCAGACTTAATCTGATTGCATATTTTCCTGTAAACTGTGTGTGTGTGTGTATGTATACATACATACATATATACTACATACATACACACACTCACACACACATATATGACTGCATTTTCCTCATCTGTTTTTCTGGCTACTTAGGTTGGAATCATAACTTCAATATTGTGAATACTGCTACAGTAAACACCAATGTGCTGACATCTCTGTGTTTTGTTGGTCTGGATTCTTTCAAGTAAGTACCTAGGAGTGCTATGGCAGCGTCTTAAGGTAACTCAATTTATAAATTTTTTGAGGACTTTCCACACTGATTTCCATAGTAGCTGTGCCAGTTTACACTCCCATGGATAGTGTGTGAGTGTTAGGGACAGGAGGGCTCACAGCTGCATTTCAAAAGCTCCGCATTGTCCCACATCTCTGCCCTGAGTATTGACAGAGCTAACACTGTCTCTCCAGCATCCACTTGACCGTGACCCCCCACCCCTGCTTCACTGTCTTTGCACACAGGATGCTCAGACCTGTCCTCCTCTTGTCTTTGTTTTCTTACATTGACTTTATCTAAGAACACTGTTTTCTGGAAGATGTACCTTCCTCCCCACATCCTCCTCCACCCATTGCCTCCATTGGGGAGGGGCTCCACTCCTGAGCACCTGATAGGCTTTCTTCAGCACAGATGGGAAGGCTCCTTTCGAAATGTGTAATTAAGCATGCCAGGTTGGTCTGGTGATGAAGATGGAATGAACTAGAGCATGGCTAAGTTAGGAGGGGGAGGAGGAAGTCTACCAGGCAGGCTTCCTCTCCAAGCTGCTTCTAACTCTATATAAACTAGACAACTGGTCGGTCCTGTGGCTTGGCTGAGATCACGAGGGTGTTTGCAACTGAAGTGGAACCCTGGGGTTCATCCACAAGCCAGGCCTCAGGTGCCAAAGGATTAGGGTGGCAGCTGGGGAAGGAGTGAACTCCCAGACACTGGGTAGGGCAGCATTCAGGGACAGGAAGGGGAGAGGAAGTTGAGTTACCATAGCCACATCATAACCTGGTGTGGCCATGCTGTTTTAAATTCTTCAACCAAGTGTAGTCCAAGTAGCCTGGCTTTCCAGCTGTAGGCTCTCTTTCTGCTTTTCTCAGGGGCCAGTCAGATAACCCACCCTACTGTTAATCCCACTAGGTAAGATAACACCACTATCAGAGTTTGAAGCCAAATTTGAAGCAAACTTGATTTTTACTGGTGTCCACCCAAGATCTGGCCAGTGACAGCCTCCTTAGTCGGGTTAGAGAGAGCAGCCTTTGAGAGGTCCCTCCTCCCTCCATTCAATGGTCTTTGCCCCTCCCCTGTTCCTCACTTTAACCTGCATACGTGCTAGCCTAGTCCCCACCACCATGGCCTCACTCTGCCCCTGTACCCATCTGCCCCCACCCCACTACCTACGCAGCTCTTCCCTTCCTCCCTGTCATCTCTCCCAACTCTTCCCTATCTCCCCCATCTCCCCGGCTTCCCCCTCTTCACACATGCCAGGGGATCTCATATGGCCCTCCTGACTCCTTCTCCAATCCTGGTTCTGGGGTGGCACCTCCCTCAGGATCGCTCCCCTACAGCCATTTCCTGACAAACACCACCTGTATTTCTCTTTATCCACCACAGATCTCTACAACTGGAAGAACAAGAACCTTTCAGCTCTAACTCTGACTCCTTAATTCCTCTAATTCTATATTTTTCAGTCATCTCCTCGTGTGGGACAACTGTTAGCAGATTCTCCATGGCCTCTTCACTACCAAAGAAAGGGACTGGATTCTCACAAAAGCAGCTAAAGCACTCCCTGGAATCGTTCGATAGCTGATGATGAGAGCCCATTAAGTGACCCTGCTCTGCCAAGGTGGAGACCCCAGTGAGACTACAACACAGAGGAGGTAGTTCTAGTCCTGGTTTCCTTTGGTGATGCAGAAGTATTAACTGAATAAATGTTTTCCTTGTCGTTTGGTCATGGTGTTTCATCACAGCAACAGAAACCCTAACTAAGACAGTAACCTTCACCTGACAAGTTCCTGGTGGACAAGGAGCTACCCATTCAGAGTTATGGGAACTTCTAGGACCCTTACTAATCAAACAATGGAAGTACGGGGGAAATAAGATATCAAAGAATATAAATGAACCACCGATTGGATTATTAACCCAGGGCAAAAAACTGTGACTCATTCTTTTATTGTCATTCCTGAATGCCCCTAACCCTTCAATGGGACAGAACCTCTTGAACAAGTTCCAGACAACAATAACATTCTCAAGAGACACTCCTAGGTTGCAATTGGGAGGTCGTGCTGAGGCTTTAACTATAACCTGCCCAATAAGTGAGAAATAACTGCTCCTCTGAAATCCAACTGTTCTATTGGTGTGAAGAGACACCATAACCACAGCAACTCTTATAAAGGAAAACATTAGTTGGGGATGGCTTACAGTTCATTAATCCATTCTCATCATGGTGGGTGGCAATGGCAGCATGCAGGCAGACATGGTGCTGGAGAAGGAGCTGAGAGTTCTACATCTTGATCTGCACACTTCAGAAGCAACTGTGTATCACATTGAATATAGTCTGAGCAGAGGAGACCTCAAACCCCATCCCCACAGTGACACACTTCCTCCAGCGAGGCGGCACCTACTCCAACAAAGCCACCCCCAATGAGGGGCTATTTTCTTTCAAGCCCTGGAAGTTCCTACAGTTTGGGCAGAGAACACTCTTCATGGCTTGGCAAAACATGTGCCACCTGTTATAGTGCAACTAACATCTGGGGAAATGCCCATTCAAGTCAAGCAGTACCCCACCAGTTTGGAAGCTAGGAAGGGGATTAAGGCATCCCCTTGAAGCAGGAATACATATTCCTTGACAGTTAGTCTGGAATACTCCCTTGTTGCATGTCCAAAAGCCTGGACCTGTTATAGACCAGCACAAGAGTTGGGGCAGTGGTGACACACACCTTTAATTCCAGCACCCAGGAGGCAGAGCTTCATGAGCTCTAGGCCAGCTTGGCCTACATAAAGAGTTCCAGGACAGCTAAGGCTACACAGTGAAACCCTGTTTTGAGAAAAAAACTTTCAAAGCATTTCACTGCCTTACCTGTGCCCAGGTGAGTACTTCCCTCAGGACAATTTTGGGAATTGGACTTCATTGAACTTAAGCCACCACTGTATAGCTACAAATATCTGCTGGTCTTTGTTGACACTGTCATGGACATGTCATGACATGGACTATTTCCATTCTTAGTGGAAATAGTTCAAGTAGTAGCTAAGAATTAATAATGGAGATTATTTCCAGATTTGGCCTACCCATATCTATGGTGTCCATGCTCAGGAAAGATAGAGGATGGATAGAACTTTAAAGGAGGTTTTAACTAAATGTATTCTTGAGACTGCAGTACATGCTGGACTATTATCAGATTGCCCCACTCCAATTTCTGAGTCCTTAAAAGGATTGCAATTAACCTTGGATAAGGTTTTTCCTCAGATCCATACTGCTCAACTGATTGGCTACCACCGAACAGACCACCCATTCCTGCCTGGAGATGCTGTATTAGATCAGCACTTCAAAACTGGTGACTGGCTTGAACCCAAATGGAAAGGACCTTACACTGTGATTCTCCACATGCCTACTGCCGTTGAAGTCACTGGTATTCCTGCCTGGTTCATTACTTGTACCCCGAGAAGGCACCCGAGGAACCCTTGGAAGAGGAGCCCAACCCCAGTGGTGGAAAGTGACTGAAAATGGACCATTAAAAAGCAAACTCTCTAACTGTCTAACATAACTTTAAGCATTGTGTTATTGCTGTTGGAGTCGACATTGTTACTGTCCTGTGGCTAACATTTTTATTTTTCAACCTATGCAAACAGAACCGAAGTGTATCTTGATGGGGGCAAATAAAAGGTTCCCTATCATAGGAAACACACTGACGTTGTTCTTGCCATGCAAAAGATTGCTTTTACGCACCAGGGCTCATAGTTTGGACAAAAGAAGGGGAACAAATAGTCTTTAACCAGATGGATGGAGGACACTGACCAATCCCAATACAATAATACAGACTTAAGCATAATCAAATATTTTTAAAAGGGCTCTGGTAATGGAAATTACAGGAGTGCTAAAATAAGAAGGGGAGGAAAAGATTCATTAATCACTTCATTGAACTTAACAATACCCAGAGTGACCCTGTCTGTAACTAATGATGTGGAATATAGTCTCTGGGTCTATTTAGCACTAAAAGCCAATGAGAAAAGTCCTTCTGTGTCAGAGGAGATCCCTCTATTCCCAGACTCTTAAAAATAAATTTTTATGGAATAGTTTTTTTTGAGAAAATTATACTAGGATAACAGGATGAAATGGAGCTTGGCCCTGCTAATATTTTAAAAGCTGTGGCTGATGTTCCTGCTGACAATGCCTTTTTCCTCCAATGTCTATGTTTTGATTGCACTAATGTTCCTTCTTACTGCAGTTCCACTTCTTATCACACCCTCCCCTTAGGATGGGCTTTTTCTGTGAAAATGATACTTGTTCTGCACTCCTGCAAGGCATATGGGCTTGTGTAGGATAGGATGTGTTACACCTATTTTACTCAGCAAGTCTTTCCAATCTTTTAATAGAATTACAAGAACTCTTCCTGACAATTGAGATGATTCCCTACAACTGTTAGATCCAATTACAGTTGCTGCTACCTCAGCCTTTCTGTCGCCCATCTCACGTGGGAGCATCCTTAGTGAGCCTTGGAGTTAGCAAGTACCTCTTAAAGACAACAGTGGCTAGGAAGGCAGCCCCAGAGTGCTGATGGCGGTTTTCATGGCTGAGTTTCTCACAGGTTGCTGGAGTGGCCTCCCATGGATTTATGAGGGACAATCAACAGTGATGTGGGGAGCATGAAAAGAAGAGGAGGAGGTCCCGGAGTCTGTAGTGGGCAGGACCTGGGGAGAGGGAGTCTGGTAAACCCAGAGTTGCAGGAAAGAGGCTTGGCAGGAGCTGTGGACAGAGGGGGAGCAGCCACTGCTAAGACTTAGCCTAGGCCTAATTGGCCTCCTAGTTTCTATAGACATGCTTCTGGTTGGATGAGACTAACTGAAAGCAGGAACCAGAGATGGCAGGAAAGTGGGTGAGATCAGAGCCGCAAGGAATGATCAGCCCGGCCAGAGCCAGGGAGGGCCAAGTAAGCAAGACTGGGATGGCTGTTGTAGGGGTAGATGCTGCCTTTAGTTAAAAAGTAGGTATTGTGTCATGGGGGGTGGGGGGGGGAGGCGGGAGTGTTCTACGGTAGTAGTCTTATAAAATGTTACATTAAAAGACTGTTTATCTTCGGTTTTGTCACTCCTTTTGTTCTACAACCCGAAATGAATGTGTAACTGTCTCCTTTACCCCATTTAATATTTTTGATGTCCGTGTGTCAATTTTTACCTCTACCCTTGTGTAGACTTTTTTCTCAGCTTTATGAACCAGGTCTTACAGAACAGGGCTCTTACAGTAGTCAAGCACTTGCTGACCCTGGGGTTCGCTCCAGCTGCTTTGTCTCGTGTCACCAGGGAAGTGGATCTCTTTGGACAGGAGACTCACAGGTGATTTTGTGAGTATTGTTTGACCATGTTTTCTAATTTTGTAAAATGAGTGCTTATTTCTCACATAGTTAGATGCAAAAAAAAATCGTCTTAGAAAGTAGGGATCCCTTTGAAGCAAATTCCACAGAAAAATCAAAGGTTTGCTGAATGAATGCATAAATGTTTGCATTAATTCTTTTCCTATATCCAACCTTTTATTCTTCTAATCCCATCTCCTCATAAGAGATGTCTGCATACACTAATCACACTAGCCTACAAAGCCCGGCAAGATTTTCCATGCCATGCCTCATTTTACCTCTTGCTATTATCGTCTCCCCTTTCTGGGTCCTTTTTTCCCTCTGTTAATACTCAAATGCAGTAGGTCATCAATTAAAATATGTTGAATAAATAAAGAAATCAATGAATGGGATCCCCTTTGGTCATTCTTGACAAAAATCTGTTTTGCTCTATAGGTATGAATTTGTCTTATATACATTTTCATATATACCATTGGTGGGCATGAAATAATATCAAGTGCTAGCACTAGCAGGTAGATCCATCATTTGAGCCATTACTGTGAGCCTCAAGCTGTATTAAACGCTCGTAGGAATCATCTTTATAAGGGCTAAGCATCCTTCATCAAGGATGGTTGGAACCAAGACCATCTCACTGTAACATATATCAATGAGACACCTAGGGGACAGGTTCCTCTACAGATAGCCTGAAAGTAATCACACTAAATATTTTCAGTAATTTTGTACATGCAACCAGGCTTCACGGCATGGAAATTTCCACTTGTGGTATCAGTATAAAGGCTCAGAGAAAATTAGTGTTTCATATGTCAGAGTTTGGAATCCAGAATGCTCAACCCACATACTATTTATTTAATTTAATATTTGATTTTTAAGCCGGGCGGTGGTGGTGCAAGCCTTTAATCCCAGCACTGGGGAGGCAGAGGCAGGTGGATTTCTGTGAGTTCGAGACCAGCCTGGCCTGGTCTACTGAGCCAGTTCCAGGACAGGCTCCAAAACAATACAGAGAAACCCTGTCTTGAAACAATAAAAAAATGATATTTGATTTTAAAAATCACCCTACACAGTAACAAGATTCTATGTAGGATTTCATATATTCGCTTCATCTCCTGGTTCTCTTCATTTCCTTCCTTCTCCTCTCCACTGTCTTCCCTCTTCCATTGTTCCCTTTCTATAGATGTGCACAGTGAGGTGTAAGAGGGAATACTCCTTTTTATGTTATGTTCCTCTTTCCATTTTTATATGTGTGTGGATGTATGGTTTGCATGTGTGGGAACACGTGTGTGTGGGTGCGTGAACACATGGGTGTGTGTGCACGTGGAGGCCTCAGGTTGATGTCTAGAATCATCTTAATTGTTCTTCCAGCTGGTTCAATAAAGCAGGGTCTTGCTATCAAACCCAGAGCACTCCAATATGCCTAGCCTCGATAGCCAGCTTGCTCTGGTGATCAAGAAGGATTACTCTTACCTAAGAGTAATCAGCTAGGAAGTAGTTGAGCTGGAGTTTGAATCCTGGCATTCCAACACCAGGTCTCACCCTCACAACTTTATTGATAATTTTTCTCCAAGAAATTACATGTACAAGTCTTTAAAAAAAGATTTACTGGCCAGATGTGGTGGCATACACCTTTCATCTCAGTACTCAGGAGGGGAATCTGAGTCTGAGGTCAGTCTGGTCTACATCGTGATTTCCAGGATTACATAGACCCTGACTCAAAATAGAAACAAACAAACAAATAATAAAAAGCCTACTCCTTTTTAAAATTACATGCACATGTGTGGGTATGTGTGTGTGAGTACAGGTGCCTGTTGAAGCCAGAGCTGTCAAATCCCTTGGAGCTGGCATTAGAGTGTTTGAGAGCTGCCCCACTTGGATTCTGAGTCAAACTCAGATCCTTTACAAGAGCATTAGACACTTAACCAACAGCCATCTCTCTTGTCCATAGGAATACCATCTTTCTTTGTTTGTATTTTGTTTTTTCAAGATAGGGTTTTACTATGTAGTCTTGGCTATCCTGAAACTTGATCTATAGACCAGGCTGTCCTCGAACTCACAGAGATCCTCCTGCCTCTGCTTCCTGAGTGCTAAAATTAAAGGCGTGCACCACCACTGCCTGACCCCACAGGAACACTCTTAATAATTGTTATTGGAGATCCTTTGAAGCCTCTTTTTACTCCAGTCTCATGGGCCCTGTCCTAGTTCCCTGGCCTTCTCATATTTACTCCCATCTGAATGCTTGTATTTAACAGTTAGAGGATAGAAACGCAAATGAGAGAGAAGGCACATGGTGCCTGTTTTTCCTGAATCTGGGTCATCTTTACTTCATACACTTTTTTCTAGCTCCATCTCATTCCTGCATCTCATTCTTTATGGTTGAATAAAATTCCATTGTATTCTAATTACAAATACAATTATATTGTACTCCATTGTACCACATTTTCAGTAACCACTCACCTTCAACCTCTATGTTTAAATAACCTACACTTACGGGAATCTACACTGTCAGGGACTTTTTATTGTTAACCCTACTTTAGTGCTGAGGAAATTGAGATTCTAGAGGAAGTTAATGTGCCCTGGCCATGTTGCTAAGCAATGGCATTATGGTAAGTAAATTAAAATCTGTGTGATTCATAGGCCTCAGAGTATAGTCTAGGACCTTCTAGGGACTTATAACCCTCTCAGGGGGTCTGTAAGTGCAAAGCTATTTTCATCAGTAGTATTTGCCTTTTTCATTCTCATCTATGTATTGTGTGTGGTTTTCTCCCCGGTGTACTGCTCGGTATCAGAATATCTTGAAGGCAGTAAAAAGGATTCTAACTCTCTCCTATCAAGACAGTCATGAAGCAAAATTTCAAGAACATACAATGCTGTCAATAGCTTCACCTATTTTTCCTGTTTTGCAAAATATTTTCATAGAGTGCTTATTACTGTTGCTTTTAAATAAATTGACATATATGTATTTTAAGTGGTCAGTTTTAATTCTTAATATGGTAAATGCTGATAGATGGGTGCATGGGTGTGTACACAGGCTCTTTAGAGTCTCAATACCTTCCAGAGCTGGAGAACAGATACCTTAGGGAATATTTTAAAAGGCTTATTTATTTTAATTTTAAGCATATGATTTATCTGTCTTCATACATGTGTGTGCACTATATGCCTGCCTGGTGCCCACAGGGGCCAGAGTGGGTGTCGGATTCCCAGGAATTGGAGTTATAGATCATTGTGAGCTGGTATGTGGATCCCAGGATCTGAACCCAAGACTTCTGCAAGACCAGTAAGGGCTCTAAACCGCCTTTCATCTTTCTAGCTCTGTGTCTAAGGTGACATTTATGTTTCCTTC